ACCTTATGGGAAAATTTGATTCGGTTGGCGACCAATTTGGTTCACGACCAGAATCGTGGAACAAATTAAGTTCGTGAACCGAGGTACCACTGTATAGCCCCAAAGATCCTACAAGACACTGATTAGCAGAAAAGTTTAATACATTGTATTTTATATTGAATTATAACATCTGTCTGGGATCATGAACTCTGCCAGTGATCAATTATGGGCATAAATATAAAAGAGGAGATACTATAATGGCAACCATGAATCCTATCTAAATATTCCCAGGTTTAGACAAATCATAGCCTCCTCAACTCTCCTTTGCAATTCACACTGTTTATTATCACATTGGCTGCATTCCAGCAAAGAGCAAGGCAGAAGTACACAGGGCTCAGCTGAGCTGTGAAAACTAAATGTTTTACTCAGACTATGATTATGTGGAAAGACTCCCTTCCAGCAGCCAGGAAGAAGTATTCTTGCACTGACTACTGGATATATTGCTAGCTAAATAGCTGCCAGAAAAACACAAGAGAAGGTACAGTATTTGTTCTAAAATGATGTACGGTTAATATATGATGCCAGAAAATTGTCCAGGATGCATAAAGGTACTTCTAATTTTTGTGGGAAAGGTGGAAAACATGAAGGGTCATTTTACCATGCAAGGTGGACTTATAAAAAAGCTAGAAAATTTTGGGTCCAAATACATACAGTGTTACAAAGAATTTTAAAGATTAATGTACAGCTAAAAGCAGATTTTTTTTCTTGTTGGGACTTACAGATAGTCAACTGGAAAAGACATGTGGAAGATTGTTTTTGTATATAGTAACTGCAGCAAGATTATTATATGCACAAAGATGGAAAGATTCTGAAATACAATGGAGGAATGGTTGGTGAAGATGACAGAACTTGCAGAAATGGCAAAATTGACGTGTGATTAGGGAGAAGATAACAGGTACTTTTATTAGTGACTGGAAACCCTTTATGGACTTTTTGCTGAAAATGGAAAAAAACAGTGATTTATGAATTCGATGATTAGAAAGAGAAAAATATGGGAAGAAGGGAATCCTTTATTAATATTTTCTTTTTCTTCTTTTCTTTCCTCTATTTACTTTTTCACTTATTCACTTGCACTGCTTTCTTTCTTTATTCTTTTTCTTTTCTTTAAATTTATACTGTATGTTGGTTTTTACTACTGCATAAAAATCTCTTAATAAAAATTATTAAAAAAAGAGAAGGTACTTGTTCTAATTTGGAATGCATTTGCAAACAGAATATATATTTTAAAATGCACTCTGTGTGTTCGTTTTTAGTTTGGTTGATTTTAGTTTGTTTTTTTAAGGATTCTGTCTGTTAATATTAGTATCCCTAGATAACAGGTTTCCATTTCAGTGATGATATAATTACAAACCTTGCCTTAATATGTTAGTGTGTAATTATTAGCATTACACTTATAATAATAATGGCTTGCTATTAAGAATGTTAGTCTTTTGTTGCTGTTTCTTTTGTGAACTTCAGCATCACTAGCCCCCTTCCCATCCATATCTGAAAAAATACTTCATCTATGTTTATGTCTGTTGATTTTTTTTAAAAAGATGAAACTGTTTATTTTCTATCCTAATGCCACGGATTCCATATGTAGATGTTAGGACCAAAATTTTCAGGTGCTGTAAAAACTCAGAAATGAGAAATATACATCTGTAATAGTATATAACTTTCTTGGGAAAGGATTATCCACTTCTTACTCTCAGAAAAGACCAAGTATACTGCCTATGCTGCCTTCTTAAGACCAGGAAAAGACAAACTGTCTATTTAAAGCTTTAGTAGTAAAATCTCAAATGTCCATCCTTTGGGAAACTTGTCTGCCTCCCAAAACTTTAGTCATTTTTGAGCAAGATATTAATATCTGGCCACATGGTAGGTGATTGAAAGACTCTTTATGATAAAACCATTAGGAGCTTTATGAATTTCAAAACTATATATTTATGATAGCTTACATGGACAACCTAGTTGATCAGATTATATTAAAAAATTATTGATTCTTACATTAAAACTGGAAAATGAGATTGCCCTTGGGTTATTCTTTCAAGGGATTCAGTTCAATCCTATCTAGTTCATCCATCCAGGAAGCTGCTTTAATGCAGTTTAGCACCTGGATGTCTCTAGAAGTCATGAAAATCCTCTCTTCTCTGCTGCCCACACATTTTGTATCAGTCCTAGCAATGGTAAGAAAGCTCACCTCACCCATTCTAGATCAGTCCTAACAATGAAATGTTGCCCTCAATACCTGTGGGCTGCTTGGCGCAAATCCCCTCATATTGCTTAAATCCTGTGTTATTCCCAGGAGTTATATTTTAAGCAAGGAGATCACATTTCTAGACAACTTAAAGATCAGGAGTAGAACAAGGAACAAAAAAAGTAGGATCAGCTTATCCAATATTTTAAAGACAACTTAACATTTCCAGAGATAGAGAATATTTATGGGTTACGCCTCTTCTAGTCTACCTCACTCCAATCTGTTGCTGAGTCATAGGATGGCATAGGAAATGACTTGGGATTCTGCTGTTGGTGATGGTGGCTTACAGCTCCCATTATTTTTTGTCAGTTTGGCCAATGGACTGATGGGGGTTGAGGGGACAGTTTGAGAAGGACATTCAGGAAGATCCACACTGAAGGAGCCCCACCTTTGCTCTGCTCAATTCTAGCCTATGAAGACGGTGAAGAGCCTCCCACAATGAGAGATGGTAAGGCCTCTGAAATTCCTTGCTTGCTTCCGAAGGCCGGATGCACCAGACCTCTCCATACAAAAGCTTTCCTTGGTTTATTTCTCCTGTAGCTCTAGCAACGGAAACTGTCCTTCCACAACAAACCTGGCTGTCTCAATTTTGAATGGCAACTCACAGGAAGCAGCCCCTCCCCCAATTTCCAGTCCATCAGCCAATAAACCAAGATTGGAGCACAGTTAACTCAGCTTTCACCAATCAGTTGTTCATCTGTTCCAAGCTTAAAATAGGCCAGATGGATTGCTGGATTCCAAAGCAAAACAAATGGGAGACAGCGGCCAATATATGATGATTGAAATACATTCCTCCACAGATAAGGGTCATATGATGGACAGGAGGGCTTGTCCTGTACATGTATCTCAGTGGTGAAAGGAAGATTTCCCCACAGTATGTCCTGTAGATGCTCTCCATTCCCAAATGTGTTTCTAGGAATTCTGGAAGTTTATATCTAACCCATCTAATGGGTATGTTTTGGGGAAAGATGGCATAAATAGTACATAGAGATTCCTAATTTAAGTATTAGAATAATCTTCACCCACCAGAGAAGATCTTGAGCCAAAGAGGCTCCTTTATCTAGAAATAAGAATGTGCTACCTTATGGTAGACAACATACATTAATTGGAAGAGAAGGGGCGGGTGAGTCAGGTAAATGTAGTAAAAAGTTTTATGTATTACATATACATTCAAAATAGATGTTATGGACACCTAGTGATATATATGAAAATAAATAGACATTAGATATCAGATTAGGTGGTAGGATCAAAGATATCACAGAAAAATTGAACTCTGATACAACTCTCAATGCCTTTGACATTAAAACTGCACACCATTCATCAATTTCCCTCCAGATATGCCAGGATTGCAAGGCACCTATTTCCCAGCAAGCTTGGCTACTCCGTTTGCTAAGCATTTGGAAGGACCATGTTGGGGAAGCCTTCCTACAAAGAACATTTAAGCAGGAGCCAAACAAGTTCTCCTTTGGTTCCTGAATGGCTCCCAGTGGGAGCACCCTCTTCCAAGAATGACTGGACCTGTGCATGGCAGACCCTCGGGGCAGACCCTCGGGGCATGGCAGGACAGGTCTAACCATTCTCTCCCCAAGAAATCAACCCTGTTCCTGCTCAACTCCCATTTAGAAGTTTGGAAAACAACTCCCACTGGAGGTTTGCAGAGAACCTGGCCTTGATGGCCCAGGAGGCCGCCCAGCCCGCAGGCAAGAGGCAGCAGAAAACATGCTCCAGCACAGCAACAGCAGCAACCCGCCTGTTTGGGGCGCTTACCTCCACTTTGTCCTCCGGTTCTGGAACCAGGTCTTGACTTGGGCATCGGTCATTTTCAGAGCCTTGGCTAAAGCTGCCCTCTCGGCTGAGGCCAGGTACTTCTGTCGGTGGAAGCGCTTTTCCAGCTCACAGATCTGCAGGCGGGTGAAGGAAGTGCGCGGTTTCTTCTTCTTGGGGGGCGTCCGGTTCTGGTAGGGGTGACCTATACGGCGTGTTACAGTGAACGGTGAGAGGGCCACTGGAGGGGGAGACAGGGCGGGCAGGGGGCAAAGAAGCAAGCGGCGACATGATCAGGAAGGACTCCACAGAAGCAGCGGCAGAGGTGAGACAGCAAGACACACCAAGAGTCAGAAGGAGAAGTGGGGAGGGCACAGAGGCGGCTTGGTCACAGGGCTCACGATCCCCTCCTTGCTCTTTCTAGAACAAATCCATGACTTGGATCCCTCCGATATTTCCTTAACTATGTGCTGTTATGGAGGAGCCCTCCCATGTCCCCAGGTGGATCCCAATATGGAGGAACCAGACTCTCTGCAAGATGAGAGCTCTGCGGGAGAGGGGCGCAAGCAGGGTATATACTAAGTGGGCAGGAGGCCAGAATGGGGAGGGGACAAATCCTTGTTTGGAGCCCCAAAATCCACCTTGCGAGCTAGGAACAGGGAGACTGAAACCGTATACGTTTATAGCTCAAACCTCTGAACATTACTTGGGAGCAAATCCTTAAGAAGAAAGCTTCAGACCGCTGCAGCCTGAATAAGGGTGTTATTGAGCCATTGTTATATCTAAGACCTTGGAACAAAACAGAGCTTGAGGTCCTCCCTTATTAAAATCCAAATCTGGGATTCCACCTCCCCCCAGTTTTTGTTCTTTTGACGTTTTTAAAATTATGGTGATTATTCACACCCGTGTTAGTTATGTAACTAGCAAAGTACATTTTCGTTTATTGTATTTTTGTTTCGTTGATTATTATTTTTACTGAAATCCATAACCTCAGGTGAAGTTAGTACTCTCAGCAAAATCGACAGGAATTAATTCAAAGTAAACCTGATGTGAAGGACTGCCTTCCCATTAAATCTTTGAGCCATTCTCTCTGAATAAAAAGATGTGTGTTATTTAGGCTGTAAATCATAACACACTTCATATGAATGTAAACTCCTTTTTAAATATTGGGACGACGTGTAAATAAACATACACTGGACTGACACTGGTGTTAAAGACAAACTCTGTTTGCTCAGAAATAAGTGCCACTGATCTCAATGGAATTGACTCTGTAGGTCACATACCTCGGCTTGCAATTACGGTGGGCACAGTTGTTTGTAAATGTGCATGAAACTGGGATGTGTTTCTTCCTCATTATCAAAATCTGCTTTTGGTATTTGATTTATTCATAAAAATCCATGCAATTACCAATTGATTTAATGCTTACGGAATATATACTTTGCTATTTGTTTATAACATTAAATATATTTGCCTCCCCACCTCACTCACTTGAACACACTCCCAAGAAATGTCAAGGATGCATTAAATCACAAAGCTAAGGAAAATGTTAATGAAAGAAGCAGAAGGTAAACGAAGCAACACATGAATGCTTTCCAATAATTAATCTGGGCATAGTTGCTCTGAGTTGCTTTGTCATTCTTTGGAATTCCTTCATTTATGGCTTTAATTTTAAATCTAGGAAATCTGACCTGTTTTAAAATCTTTCCTTTGTAGCATCGTTGGATTGAAAGTATCAGGAAAGTATCAATTTGTTTTGTTTTAGTTAGATAGATCGCTTTCCAAAGTGACTTTGTAGGAAAAAAATGAAACATGCGTATCAGGAAAATATCTTTATTACATATATAATAAATTAGAAATAATCTTTCTGGGGGGTTTCCCCCATGATTTTGTGATTTTGTGATTGGCCTTAGATAGATTATCCCCCCTTGCAATTAAAGAAGGCTCCTTTTAAATTGTTTGAGGAACATGCTGAACATTATATTTTACTTGCAACAGTGGTAATTAACCCTATTTTCCAAAATCTTCCTAACCAAAGTAAATTTTTACATTCATATTATGGATACCAAAATCACCAACAACAGCAACAGAAACAAACCTGATTTAAGACTCTCTTGGGGGCATTTTATTTTGGTTGCATGTTTGGGCAGTATTTTGTCAAACGTATGTGTGGGGGGTCTACCTGTACCCTCTCTCTTCCCCTCTTTCCAAGGCTGAGCATTGGCAGGAAAGATGCTGATCAGGTGCCAGAGAGGTACAGAAAGGTTTAACTGAAGAGGGGGAGAAACAGAATGAAGGTGAGATCAGTGTTTAAAGTGGAATCATTGCAATCTGTCTCCAACTATCCTAGGATATCTGGTTTTGCTTGTATATCGTTTAGTGGCAGCAGATCCATTTAAGATAATCCCAAAACTTTTAATGGCTTTTTTAAAAAAATGACTTTCAGTTAATTTACCAAGTAACACCCCGTTTTCTCACCTGAGACCGCTCTGAGCTCGCCTGATCTGGGTATTGCGCTCTCCGTACTGTTCAGCAGTTTCTCAAACCGAACAAGGAACGAAGGGAAATTCTACGAACCTTGTTCGGCGATGCCGAGGTCGATTCGGGATTTTGCCACAAATAGCCCTAGCAGCTCCGCGCAGCCTTCGCTTTCCACGCCAATAAGGCTCGCATTTTCCCAGCAGAGGCCCTCGGCGCAAGGGCGGCGGAGAAAAGGCCAAGGTTAGGTCTCTGTAGCAAGAACAAAACCTGTCCTTTCCGAGGAACGATTTGAGATCAGGGGGAAAAGTGTTCTCGTAAAAAAATTAAAAAACAACAACAACAAAACGACGAGGACGGGCCGGATGACGATTTGTTCTGAACTGAAACGATCCAGCCGCTTTTGCAGCAACCCCCTCGGCAGAGAGGAGACCCATCGGAGGCAGGCGAAGGCTCTTCCGAGCGGTACGGCCCTCAGCCGCGTCTGCGCCATCGCGGGTGGAAATTTCGAAAAAGAATCTCTACTCTGGCCTTGCTCATTGGCAGTGATGGAGATGCAGTCCAGCAGAACCAGAGACCCCCAGTCTGGCGACGGCCGGGAAAAATAAATAATGCGGCTGCCTGGGGGGTTACCAAGGCCGAGTCGCGTCTCCGGGGGAAGTTGCTTCAGGGATTGCCCGCGCTGCCAGAAGCGCCTGGTCTCCGGTCTCCCCAGCTTCCGCTGCTGTTTACGATTTCTCTCCGCCATTGAGTAAAGCAACCAACTCCCATTGAAACAGGCGTGGCGGGGAATTCAAAACTCGGTGCAACCCGGATTACAGGCCTCTATGCGCGGGCTGGGGCGCGGCCTATCCCGGCGAGAGCAGATGCCTACAACCGAAGGGGACTCTCCTCCTTTCAGGCCACGTCTAGTCCGAAATTGGCTCCACTCGTTCAGTGGTAATGACTCCCGGTTGGATCTAAAATTGCAGGTTGGGAGTTGCTGCCATTGAACTCCGTGGGGCTCCCTTCGGAGCAGAGCGTCAAAGAGCGAGATCGCGCCGCCATGGCCTCGATCTGCCCATCCGTCTTGCTGGGGGCATCGCAGCAGCCATTAGTCTGAATTTTATAATTCCCCGCCCCGGCTGGAAGGCAGGTAAAGGGCTAGCCCTGGGGAGGGGAGGTCGTATCCTGCTCCGAAGCGTCAGATAATGGGGCCTTTATTGATGAAGGTCGGATCTCGCTGTTTAAATTAAAATTGAAATATTATTACCATCATTGCTCGTGGCATCCTGGTGGGGGGAATGAGTGTAAATCTGGGCGATTCAGAAAGAGCACTGGATTGCTGAGATTTATCTTCCAATAGATCTGCCACTAAACGATGAATTGACCTTTCCCCCCCCCACTTCTCCCCCTCCCCCGCCCTTTTTAATGCACGTCGAATAATGTAGGTGCCAATTTATGGGTCATTCATGCCCCATATCTCTAGGAAAAGGTGAATCTGACCGGAGGCAAAAAAAAGGGGGGGGGAGCATGGAGTTCTTTCGACCCAATTATACATCATCTTCTGGCACCCTCCCTTTCAGGCGCTGAATTCTGCATTATCAGTATTAATATCATTTCACCGTCTGGCTGAAAGATACATTTCTTTTAAATGTATATTTTCTATCCGTGTCTGCACACCAGTGTGTGCTCCATAATTTATAACAATAATTGTGAGGGATGCAGAATGAACCGGATCAGTGAACATGAAAGCAGACGCATTATTTGTTCAATACCTAATTTATGATTTATGAGTTTTGAAATCCTAGTTATGGTACATTTTTAAAACCTAGTTATTTTGTAACTTGGGTTATGTATTTATATACTACAAAAGTTGGTGAACTATGTATATGAAATTGTTTGGTAACTGTGTTGATGATGATGATGATGATGATAGAGTTATTACAGTATTATGCTACAGATACTAGTAATATCTATGGTGTTTCTACAAGATGTGTCACCATAGGCGGACGCGTTTTCGTAAGGACGCGTTTTCGTAAGAGCGGGATTGGGGTGGGCAAAATCCATCTATCTCGTGAATGAAGTACAGAGACATTGGAAAAGAATCCACAGCATGTGGATCCGGTTGAAACAACCCCCCCTCCCGTTTAAAAATGTTAAATGTATCTGCTTAATCCAAGTATGTGAAATTGCGTGCTTAAATGTTCCTAAATGGGTGCATAAAGGCTAGACAAACGAGATTATTTGTTCGTGGATTGATCTTGTGAGAGGACTGGTAAGGGTTTCAGAAGGGGATGTCGTATCTCCTCCGTGGAAGTTTTAATCAATATGAAAACTCGTGCTAGTTATACTATAAAATATCTTTAATTTAATAAAAATAATCTTGCTCGGGCAATTATTAGGAACACTTGCTTCTTGATGTTTAGCCTTCTGGATTTCTGGCATCGCTGCTCTTTCGGGCCATAAATCTAAGGCGCACCCGTCAACGCTGTTTATAAATCAAACCAATCGATTCAATTAAAGTAGTTACAAATCGTATGCGAGCACGCCCGGGACTCTCTCGCTGGAGGGCAGGAGAGGGAGGCTCTACAGCGAGCTGGTTTGCGGAGGCAGGAGCCGGGAGACAGCGGGGGCAGCGCTGGAAGGCGCCGGCTCCTCGCGTGGGGCGGAAAGAGCCCCGGAGCCTCTCACTCACCCGTGAAGCGGTCCTTGGTGTAGCGCCTGTTGCTCTCCATCCAGGGGAAGGTCAGCCCCGTCAGGTTGTTCACGGTGGGCACGCCAGTGGGGAGTGGCTG